TTTTTAAGCACAATAGAGCAACTTTCGCCTCAATCCAAACACGTTTATGAAAGTTAAATTAGATCACCATGAGATCAAATGCCTCAATAATAATATTCATAACGTGAGAATGTTCTTTTGACTTTTGGCGACTTTAGTTTGGTGGCTGCGAGGGCAAACAACGACCTTTAACACTTCCACATTTGAAATGATTAGGTTAGCTACGTAGCTTACAGCAGATCTGCAGTAATATCAAAATCATGTGATCACATTGTTAGAAGTTTAAGTCAATATCCATTATCACTGCATTGTAAGCAGATGCTCTGATCCATGAAACGCTAATGTATTCCCCTTATTTGCCTCTTGGATCAATACTCTGTTTCCCTGATCTGTTGGAGAGGTTTTAATCAGCCAATGAGGTCACTGGAGGATGTCATCTTTTACCATCACGTCCCGGTAATTACTGTACCGATTCATCAGAACAAGTCTCACTGAACACAACTCAAACGTCGCCAATGGAAACTGCCCCAACCAGCATTGATGACTTCAGTTTGCCATCTACCACCAATGTGAGTCATAAATACGTACTATATGAAACAGTTGCTACAGAAATTCAAAGATGCGTTCATGTTTATTAAACCTTTAAAATGTCCTCTCAGTAAGTAGAACAATATGTTCCCTCTGCTCCTCCTCTGCTGGTCTGCTGACCGCCCCCACCCCACGCCTCGTCACCATGGGTGCTCGGGCTTTTAGCTGCACTGCTCCCAGACTCTGGAACTCCCCCCCCCGCACATCCGACAGTCAGACACAATCACCATATTCAAATCCCAATTAAAAACCCATCTGTTCAAATCTGCCTACTCGCTGTAGTGCTCCCCATTATGTGTTTCCTTTGTGTCCACTTGACTCCTCCATGATTTCCTGTTTGTGTTTTTATCATGTTCTGTTGCCTATTTAACAAATCGTACGGTGTCATGAAAGGCGTCTAAAATAAAATGTATTATTATTATTATGTTGTTTATTGGAAAGAACCCTTTAATTGTTAATTTAACAATTAGCATTTTGCAGTTTCTCCTTTAAATGTCTTTAAAAACACGTTTATATTTTCCAAAAATCGCACCACTTTTCCATTTGTAATAATATTCAATTTTGGGGCTTTCTTTGGAACATAAACGGTGCTACAGTAAATGGGGAAAGTATATGTATTTAGGATAATGTTTCGATTGACAAACAATATCCCAGTGGTGTTTCATCTCTTCTTTTTGCAGCTTGTAAGTGTTGTTTAACTATCCGGTAATAACTTCAATGAATTTGGTCGAATTGAGTTCTTGTAATCTTTCCTCAAACACTTATTTAAAGACATCTTTCTCCGGTTCTAACCCAATGAGCCTCTAATCCCCACTTTTCTCT